AAGACACGAGGCAGACATAGGGAAGACCAGAGCCCAAGGGCCTGAGAGGGATCCCGAGTGCAGAGCCACAAGGGGCACCCACACTGGAAGATCTGCCCACCCACCCCCCAGATCAGACCATAGGGGAGAACTGGGAGTCCCCCCAGCGACCACACACACAGCCCCCGGGGCCAGTAGCAACAAACTCATAGGCCCCACCGGCACCCGCCATACCAAAGCAGATCCAGGAAAGGGTACAGAGGTCCGGGCCCCCAGGGCGGGACCTCTGTGCCCTCTGTGCCCTCTGTGTTTTCACCTTTTTAACCTGACATTGACACGATAAAATACTTCCTTTGGGGGAAAACAACGTAACTGCTACAAATATTTTGTCAACCACAAACTTTAAATTTCTTTAAAGTCATCTCAGTTTGAAATAAATGAAAATTTGTTATTTAGGTTGAAAAAACAGTTTATAAAAGTCCACAGTTTATAAAAATTATATTTGTTTTATAAAATTTTTCGAATAAAGGCATTTATGTACTTTATTGAATTCACTGTGTGATATTGTTTTAATTGTTTAAATATTGATAGTGATTCAACACAATCTGCTGGTTTCTTCTTTAGATTTTTATTTTTTTATGTACAGTGCCCTGAGACAACGTATGTTGTGACTTGGAGCTATATAAATAAACTGAATTGAATTGAATTAAATGTCGTGCACAACACAGCTCCACTTTAAAAAGTACTTTAGTCTCAACAAAAACTAAGCTTTGATGTAAACACTACAAAAAAATGACTGATAAGCAAAAACTCAGAGCCTGCAGAAAACATTTATTGTAGCAATAAAAATGTAGTTTGGTTGAAGAAATTGACTCTCCAAGCTCTGTCTGCTGCAGGTAAGATACTGACCATTCATAACGACACACGACCGTTTGAACAAAGAGACATATCTCTTTAATATCCAAACTGTTCCTTGTTTTCTTCTAGTTTCAACAAACAGGTTTAATAACTTGAAACAGATACGTTTAATAAAGATGAAATTTTCCTGATGAGGGGACAAACTTCCTGCGTTTTATTAAAACAATAAAACAAAAGGAAGTGATTTCTGAGCAGATGTGCTCGCACACAGCAACAGCTCCTGTTAAAGGCTTTTATTTACTGCTGTAATCTCGTTTGTTTGGTCTGAAATATAATTCAGTCCCGATGGTTCTGCCTTTAACTCTACCTGGTTCTGATCAAACGCCCGTCATGTTTGGAGGCTTTCGTTTCAAAGTGATGGTTCTGGAAAGCCCTTCCTGAGCAGCGTTCTGCAAACATGGCGACACGTCAGAACCTGTGAGGGTCTTTAATGATCGCAGGATGATTTGAAATCAAAGTTTGTTTTAATATCAGGTTGATTAAACACAAGTTAAAACACATAAACTGATGAAAACACTTCATTTTGAACTTCTTCTTTAGATTTTTTTCCTTTAAACTTTTTTTTTTGCCCTGCAGTTCCTAAAACCTGTCAGTCATTAAAATAAAAAATATTAAAAAATATACAGTATATAAATAATGCCTGTGATTTTTCTGAGATGTCTGGAATCATTGTCTAATGTTTGAATGGGATGGCCAAGAATAAGCTGGCCCCCCCAGTTATATCTTGTTGAGTACCCAGCAGGTTTTTCCTTTTTCAATTGCCCTACCTAGTTAGGAATACAACCTCATAAATATAAAAACAAACAAAGATATTTTTAACAATTAACAGTTAAAAACATTAATTTGTATTTTATTTAAAATAAAAAATTAAATAAGGACAACCAGACCAGTCTAAAACCAATGTTCTCAAATAAAGATGGAGGTTCTCATGAGGTTATATTCATAGATATATTTTAATCAAATATTAATTAAATCATTTTAATAATAAATATAAAATTTGGCAGTACAGTGGCACAGTTGTAGAGCAACATATAAGAAGGAAGAAGGTTATTAGATCAACTTCCTGTTCTCCAGGTTCTCCAGTTTTCTCTCAGAGACCAAAATCATATTTATTATATGACATAAAAAACAAATAACTTAATAATTTGGGATAACTCTACAGTAGAAGTAGTTTGTAATTTTGTTTGATTTAGTTTTTATTTCCAGTTTTGGGGTTTTATAATCACAGGTTTTCTTCACAAAAGTAAACATCAACAAACAAATAAAACTTTTAACAAACATAGAAGAGGTGATGCCTTTAATTTTTAAAAAGCTTGTAAATGTCTTTAAAATATTTATTTTGACATTTTTAAATAAAATGACACTCATTTTGAAGGGAACGGTCCTTATCAAATTTAAAATTTAATACATTTAAACCCCCACATTTACCATAAAACATTAGTTCATCCAGTGTTTCTCTTGTTTAACAAATAAACTTATTTCATTTTACCTATAAAATACTCACATTAAGTGTTTTCCTATGTAGGTAAAAATCTGTTTAACAACCTGTTAAAATACACCAGAATACAAGAAATGACATTTACTTCTTTAAAATATTTTTCTGGGGGAGGACCCCCTGACCCCCCACCAGTGGGTCCCCCCAACATTACAAATACTTACTCTTGTTTTTTGTCTCTGAATGTCATAAAATCAGTGATTTTATCTGTGAAAATACAAATTGAACATCTGTTGGCAAATCCATAGCTTTATATTGCCATAGTTTTCAATTTGTCATATTAGCAAACACATAAGTTTTCTGTTATAGATATTAGTTTTGGTGTGCCACCCCCACCTCCCATGGCCCCCCTGAAAAAATTTTCTGCAGGCGCCACTGGTTTCTCAGGCTGCTAACTCAGCCAATCGATTTGGCATTCTAATGTGCCTCTCAGATTATTATTATTATTATTATTATTATTGTTGTTGTTGTTGTTGTTGTTATTATTTCTCACCGTCCTCCTCCGTCTGTTTGACGATCTCCTCGCTCTCCTTGCTGCCTTCAGGGTTGGCCAGGACCAGTCGCAGCCTGACGGTGACGAAGGGCCTGAGCCCCCTCAGGGTGTAGTGGGACGACGTCTGGATCAGCTCCTCAGCTGCAAACTCCTGCTGGTTGAATACGTACTGATACTGCACCTGCAAAACACAACACATCAACTCCATTTAACACAAACTAGAACTGGAGACGGTGCATTTACTGAGAACATGCAGCGTGAATGCTTCATGCTAAAAGATTGTTGCTGAAACTTAAAATAAGCTGCTGAAGAAGCTGAAAAGGCAAAACTATTAATGCAAGTTAAACGTTAACAGCTGACTTTGCTGAAAGTACAACAACAAAAGTAAAAAATCAGTAGAGAGAGAGCGAAAAAGCTAAACAGAATCTGATGAGAACAAAAAAAACTAAAATTAGTGAAAAAATAGTAAAAATAGATGAAATAAGTTAAAAATAGCAGACGGGGAAATGAGTTAAAAATGTTCAAATTAGCAAAAAACAAGAAAATATGTACAAAAAAACTTAAAATAAGCTTAAACTAACCTACAAACAGCTAAAAGGTATTTGAAACTTGTCCAAAGAAACAGTAAGAACAAGTTTGTTGAATTAAGCAGCAGGAAGCTGAAATTAAAAAAGGTGCTTAGCTGAAAAAAGCTTAAATTAGCTGAAATTAACTAAACACACAAAACAGCTGAAATTAGCAGAAATTAGCTCAAAAGTAGATAAAACACAGAAAACAGCTGAAATTAGTAGAAAGATGAAGGCCATAAAAAATTATTAATTTGCAAAAAATGTGCAGAAAAGGTCAGAATAATGGTAAAAAAAATTGGCTAAAATCAACTAAATAGAAGCTGAAATTAGCACCAAGGTGTTAAAAAAAGCAAAACTAGAACAAATGTTCAAAATTTACTGTAAAGATTTATTAATATTTTCAAAAGTTTTAAGGTTATTGAAAACAGCTCTGTTCATTTTCAAAGAGAAAATAATGTCAGAAAAGTTTAAATATCTTAAAAAGTATAAATTACTGAAACACCAAAAGTCATAGTTTGAATGTTCTGAACGAGCTGAACGCTTTCATTTAGAAATTGTTGAAATGACACAAAAACTACGGAAGGATAAACGTGCTGAAAAACTTATGGAAGGAAAAAGATCTGAATAATAAGAGTGTTTGATGAGTGTTCAGATAACTCAGCCTGGATTATTAATCTACAGATACATTCAGGGTGCAGATTATACAGTGACAAACAGGACTGTGGTTAGGATTATTTTTCTTTTATTCAAGTTTCATAAGTTTCTGACTGAAGTTTTATTTTATCATCATGTCTGAACAGAACAATTATTAAAACATGGACAGAAGCTCCACAGAGATGAAACTCTTTAAGCTCTGCTCCTCCCTGTCTTTTGTTAAAACCTGTCTCCATCCTCAGTGGTCTGTTCTCACCGTCAGATTGTAACTGTGACAGCGCGTCACGGCGTAACCAAACGTCTCCCACTGAACCGTCAGCTGGCGAGCCCGGACGTCCACCACGTTCACATTCTGAGGGCCGTGGACGGGATCTGATGGTGGACAGAGACAGATTATCCAGTCATCGGTCGACACACAGCACAACAAACTGATCCACCAGAGTAACACAGATCTGTTTAATCTGATTATGCTTCTAAACAAGCAGCTAATCTTTGACCAGCAGATTAATTTGATGGATTAAATGTCTGAAAATTAAGTAACTGGTTGCTGCTACTTAGTCTAATTCTCTCAATCTGAGACATCGATTGAGACACAACGAAGCTTCTTACAGAAAATGAGTCGAAGTTTACCAGACAGCATCACGGCTTCACAGCAAATTTAAAAAAAATGGCTGCAACTGATAATCTGCTGGGTTTATTTTTTTATATATAAATTAAGGAATTAACTTGACTCAGTTTGCTAAAAAACAAAGAGCAAACACTGAAGAGAGAAAACTCAAGTGTGTTTTCATTAAAAGCAGGTGTGACGATCAGACAGGAAGCAAAGCAAGACCTACAAAATAAAACAGGAAGTAAAACATCACACGCAACATGGACAAAAACAAACTGAACTGAAAGATTTTATTTCAAGAAACCAAACAAAAAACTAACAGACATCACTTTTTTTATACAACAGAAGTGTTATTTTATATTAGATGTAGTTTTTTTTATATTTATTCACATAAAAACTCATCGGGTGTTCGTCATGTTTTTTGACTTACTGCGGTTTAAAATAAAAAAAATTTTTGTGATTCTTGTTTAATTTTAAAATACCTAAAAACTAAAAAAAAAAGTCATTTATTACATGAACAGATTGGTCCAACAACAAGCTCCTTACAGAAAACATCAGATCCAGATCAGATCCAAATAAGACCGGATTAGACAACGGGATCCAGGATAAACCATGCGGACCATCGTAGACTCGTGTTTATGGGCAAATCTTCTCTGAGTCTAAAAATCATAAAAATGTTACCACTGAAATCTAATATTTCATTTATTAAATATTAAACATTTCCTCTTTAAAACACACGCTTTAGTTTATTCTGGTTTGTTTTAATGCTTTAAAAAAACAGAAAACTCGTCTTAGGCTTTTTATTCTGTCTCATTTAATCCAGTGTGTGTGTGTGTGTGTGTGTGTGTGTGTGTGTGTGTGTG